AAATATAATAAAAATAGAATATAATATACGTACATATGTATATATATTATATAATTTATTAAAAAATAAATATATTTTTCGCGTTTTTTTTTTTTCACATTAAAAATGTGGCAAATGTACATACAATATTCTCGTTTTCGTTTTGATTGATAGATTAAAAAAGTTTCTTTCGGAATTTGATCACTTTTAAAGTGAAATTTGTTCAAATCAGGTATATAATAAAAGTACATTTACATTTTGCGCAGATGTACATTTTGCGCAGGTGTTATAATAAAAGCGCAGGTGTACATTTTCGCAGGTGGTATAATGAAAGTACATTTTTTTTCATTTTGCGCAGGTTGTATAATAAAAGTACATTTTGCATTTTTTTTTTTACGCTAAGGTCATTAATGATATGCTTGACACATTACCGACATAACATACGGCGTACCGCGTACGAAATCTTTCATAAAAAAAAGGGCATTTACAATATTGCGCCTCATAAATTTTCTAAATTTGTTATATAAAAGGTTTTCCTTGTTCATTCCTTATCAACCTATTTATGAATAATATGATTGGTCAAAAATAATGAGTGCAAAAAAAGTCATTATGTCATTTTTGTAACACGTCATATAAATAAAGTTTATAATAAAGTTTTGTAATAGTTTTTATCTTTATTGAGGACGTATGATACATATGATTTTTGAATTTTTTTTTTTTTGAAAGTGTTTTTTTTTATGGATAATTCCAACTATGTAAACTATGTACGAATTTTTTTTTTTTTTCTACCCATTTCTACCCATTTCTAAACTTTTCTAACCTTTTCTATACATTCTAAAAAATCAAATTTCTTGAAAAAATTTTTTTTTTATATATAACTATATTATAACTATATTATAACTATATTATAAACGATGTATTATAACTATATTACTATATTATAAATTATGTATTATAGCTTATATTATAACCATGTATTATAACTATATTAACTATATTACTATATTATAACTATGTATTATAACTATATAAATAAAATTAAATAGAGTCATTATTAATCCATCAAAAATGTTTCTCGTGTAACATATGCGAGTCCAATAAAAAAACAAGATTTATAACAAGATTTTTTTTTAATGTTTAAAAAGAACAAAGAAAAAATTTTATGTACGAGGATAATTTTATTATTATTATTATTGTTTTTTATTTTTATATTTATATATTTTATATATATATATATATATATATTTTTATCATTTTTTTTATTTATTTATTTATTTATTCTCCTTCGATATAAAGAACCTTTTTTATATATATACATAGACAAGTTTTCCTTTATCGAAATAAAAAACGCACAATTAAGATATTGATAATAAAAAAAAAAATAATATATATATATAATAATAATTGTTTTAGATGAATTCTCATTCGTTTTTCTTTTTTGTTTTTTGACGTTCTTTTTCCTTCCTTGTTTCTTTTTTTTTCGTGTATCGGAGACGAGGTATCACTATCGTTCAACAATATTTCTTAGGGGATTTAAGATTTAGGAGATTTATAATCTAAATAATCTAAATAATCAAATTTAAAAATTTAACGTGTGAAATCCCCCCTAAAAAAACATGCATCAACAAGAAAACATTTCAAGCAGTAATACAGTTGAAAGTGAATCAAATAACAAATCTGATTCTACTACTAATTTAATAGTTTCTGAAAATGTTAATGAAACATCATCATTCACTTTACCGATAAAAAACGAGAATAATTTTGATAATGAACAGAAGAAATTAAACGAACATCCATTATCAACAACAACGTTACCAACACAACAACAACAGCAACAACAACAACAAGATAATTTAGTAAATTTATCGGGTTGGAGCGTTGTTGCTTCATGGAAAAAAGAAAATTTTCAAATGAACGAACATCAAAATGCTTATTTAGAAAATATGTTTGCTTCCGAAATTTTTCCTAGAGTTTATTTGGGAACGTAAGTTATTATTATTAACCTTTATTAGTTTAAAATATTTGATTATCAAAGAAAAAACTAATTTAATTTTTAATTAAGTCAAATGGCTGCTAATGATAAAACCTGGTTAGAAGATCATCATATCACTCACATTCTCTCCATTACCGAAGGATCCAATCCAACTTATCCAGAGGTATTTATTAAATATGATCGAAATATAATCGAAATATAATATTAACATAATTCTTTTTTTTTAAAAAGTCTTATACGTATAAAGTAATTGCCATTCGCGATTATACTTCTCAAAATATCATTACTCATTTTGATACTACAAATAAATTTATTCAAATGGCTTTACAAGAAGAAAAAAATAATATTCTCGTCCATTGGTAAAAATATAATATTCCGTCTTTTTTTCTAAAAACGTTTTAAATAATTTCAATAATTTCTAACTTTTAAACTTTATTATATTAGTCAAGCCGGAATTTCTCGAAGCCCAACAGGTATATATTTTATATGTATGTAAATATGTATGTAAATATATTTTTATTTATTTTTATTTTTATTTTTTAGTTATGATCGCTTATATCATGAAAACTCGCAAGATGTCATATGATGACGCGTTTAATCATGTTCAGTCAAAACGTGCCGTAATCTGGTAAGCGATATTTCACGATGTTTTACGATATTTCACGATACTTCACGATGTTTTACGATATTTCACGATACTTCACGATGTTTTACGATATTTCACGAGATTTCACAATGTTTTACTTACAATGTTTTTTTTTCACGTAGTCCGAATTTGGGATTTAGAGAACAATTAAAGTTGTACGAATCATTGGGATGTCAAAATTTGAAGACAAACCCGAAATATTGGAGATTTCTAGTTAAAAAATGGGGAGACAGATTATTATTGTAAGTTGTAATAACGTTAATTTATTATACAATATTTCTTTTAACAAGTTTATAATTATTAATATGATTTTTTAATGTTAGACCGTTATACACTTAGATTAATCATCACATAGAAAAAATTTCCTTTCGATCATTATAAACGTAAATGTTTATCATTACTATTTTGAATTTTTAAAAAAAACCTAAAATAGTCTTAAAAAAATATACATTTACACTCATTTTGTACATATTAAATATTATAGTAATTTATATCACTTCATATATTACGGTATTTTTTTTTTTATAGTAAATTATAAATATCCCACATTCTTTATATCACTTTTTTTTTTTTTGTAAAAAATTGTTACCCTATCTATTATATACAGTATATAAATTTTCTCTCAGTAATATATACATATATTACTTTTTTACATTTACTTTATTTTACATTTACTTTATTTACTTTACATTTAACATTTTACCTCACTCTCTCTTCTCCTCTTTCTTTGTTCCTCCTATTCCGTGTATTATAAACAAATAACCATCTTGTCACATAAATAAAAATGAAAAAAGTCTCTCTTCGTAAATTTTAACACGTTCTAACAGTGATAACTGTGATAATCAAATGTACATGTATTATGTACATGTAAGAAACAAATAAGTAATTTGTAAATGACCAATCAATAAAATGTCCATCGTGTATTTGTTTTGATTGCATTAAAAACTGCGAATTGAATTAAACGAATTAAACATATATTGTATTTATAACACAACGATAGATATTCATTAGGTTTTCCTTTAGAAATCGTTTCGTGAAAAAATCGGTCCGCGATTATCGCGATTAATAGATAATTAATTAATTAATAATTTATAAATAACGATATGTATTTTAAGTATTTTAAGTTTTGTTTATGGTAATTACACAGTATATTTATTTATGATGATAAAACATGATAATAATTTCGAAAAAAACCGAACCATAACGTAATTGACGTAATTAACGTAATTAAAGTATATCTTTATATCGTACATATCCGCGTAAATAATAAAAAAATGTTACACTAATATCTTCGCGTGTTATTACACGAGGCAAAGTACCAGTACTTTTGAGTAATCGTGTGTGACGGTAAGACAAATTTTCAGGTAATTAAATAATTTGTACCATCATTTTGGCATTTGTATTTTGTACCATCATTTGGCATGTAAGCTAAAAAAAAAAAGAAGGTACTTTTGATGATCATTTTTTTTTTTAAGAAAAAAACAAGTTATTACAAAAGTCATTATCTCTTCATTGTTAATAATATGACAAGTTACACATACCCAAAAGAAAAATATATTACACCAATTATAGTTAATCTATGATCGCAGAAGACCGAAAGAAAAAAAATTATATATATGAAATATTTATATACAGTATATATATTTGTATATATGATGTTTTTATCTTTTTTTTTTTTTTTTTTTTTACTTTTTTACTATTAATAGATCTCATTATTGTGATTAATTTAACTTGTAACAATCGGATCAAAACAAAGTTTTAAGTAAACAAGCTATTAGAAGTTAGAACCTTATTTAATGATAATACCTGCATATTTTAACTTGCTTTCGTAAGTTTCATAAGTTTACTATTTATCTTACATAAAGTCACTATATCGCAAAATTTAGTTATAAGTAATGTTAAAAGTACAGATCATGCATTGAATTATATCTCTGGTTATGTCTATACTTTGGAAGAGATATTGTTTTGTGAAGTTCTAAAGGTCAAATTACTAGATTATAATATAATTTACTGTAAAATGGAATATTATGAAATAAGACTAAGAGATACTGATTTTTCTATAAAAGATTATGTATTTCACATCATAAAGCGATAATTTCGTTTGAGATATAATAATTTCGTTTGTCATATATAAGAAATCGATACAATGAACTATGAAGATTTTTAATTGGAAGGAACGTACTATTCATATTTTATATAAGATTAAAATNAAAAAAAAAAAAAAAAAAAAAAAAAAGATAAAAAACTGATTATACAAGTAAAATTATTATCGTTAAGGGAAGGGTTATACAATAATAACAAACAATGTTGAGCGTCCATTCCATTTGTAAAAGCATGTAAAGCTCATGTAATCATGTAAGCCGCATGTAATCATGTAAGCATGTAAACACTTTTATTATGTTGAACAAAAATAATGTTCTATGAATATATTTATTTATTTTTTTTCTCGGTCAAATGTTCTCGGTCAAATGATATTATACATGATTTGGTTTCTTCATTACGTATTGGTTGATACATTTTCATAAGAAAAATTAGGGAATTTTAAGCATAATAAATTAATATTTTACCGTGACTTATTTTTTGTTATTTATCGCCAATGTTTTTTTATTGGCAAAAAGGAAATGAAAGAAATGAAAGAAGTTATTGTTAAACAAAATTTCGGATTAATTTTCCGTGGTTTTGGGATTTGATAATGAATCCAAATTGGCAAACAAAAATGTTCACTTTTATAAAAATTGTGTATATCCTATGAATATTTTTATTTCTCAGTCAATGGCATTATACATAATTAAGAAAAAATTAAGCATAATAAATTAATATTTTATCGTGACTTGTTTACATTTATCTTCCAGTAATAATAATTTAAATATTTTTTTTATTGGCGAAAAAAGAAAATGAAAAAAAATGAAAAAAGTTATTGTAAAACAAAGTTTAAAACATTAATTTCGGATTAATTTTATTTTAGAATTTAATAATAAAACCAAATTGGAAAACAAAAGTGAAATAGAGGGTTATCCTATGAATATTTTTTTAATGACAACATTATACATGATCGATAAATTTCGTAAAAAAATTCTAAATTCTTTTCTTTGTTTCGCATGCGTTTTCATATAACTAAGAAAATTAGGGGAAATTTTAAGCATTAATAAATTAATATTTATTTATCGTCCGATAAGTAAATATAATAAATTAATATTTTATTTATTTATCGATTTATAGTCTAATAAGTGAATATAATAAATTAATATTTTACTTATTTATCGATTTATTAAGTATAATAAATTAATATTTTACCGTGACTTATTTTACCGTCCAATAATAATCCAAATTTTTTTTTATTGGAAAATAAAAAAGTAAACATTAATTTCGGATTAATTTTATATGATTTTAGGATTTGATAATAAGTCCAAATTGGCAAACAAAAAGTAAATAATATATTATGAATAATTTTTCTCGATCAAATAACATTATACATGATTGATAGAATTTTATAAAAAAAAAAAAAAATTCTTTCTTTCATTTCTTTCTTTATTTTCGCATTGGTTTGATACATTTTCATATTACTAAGAAAAATAAACAAATACAATCAAACAAAGAGACGCATGGAAACCTTTGGAAAAAATTTGATGATCACATGATCGAGGGTAAGTAATTTTATCATTTTTTTTTTTTTTTTTTTTTCTAGAAATTTTTTACGAAAATTATTTAATTTAATTTATCTTTGTTTTGTTATTTATATTATTATATTTAATTCTTATCTTATCTGTACTTATCTGTAATAAAAAAAAGTCTGTAATTAACGGAATTAACGGAATTAACCTTATATCTGCAATTATGTATAATGAGAATATTAAACAAATAATAATTTAGAATGGTCACGACCTTTTAAAATAATTAATTGTCGGAATACTCGGTCATCGGTATACTCGGTAATTCGGATCGAGTAGGTCAGTAGGAGAACAAGGAGAACAAGCTTTTAACCATAATGCTTACAATGATAATCGAATTTCAGCAGTTATCAATTTAACCATATGAATGCTTATAATGATCAATCAATACGTTGAAGTATCATAAATTTTGGGGAATAACTTATTTGCTAATGAATTATAATGGTAAATTATTATTGCTAGTTTCATGAATGAATGGAAACTTTTGCAATTGTATTTTAACATATAATACACTTAATTAATATATACAGTTATTTTAAATTCTCGTTATTGCAAGTAATTATTCGAATGTACACTTGTGTTTATTCTGTAATTCTAATTTTCTTACTAAATATTATCCAAGTTTCTCATACTCTTTAATTGAACTTCTAATAGACCTTCGTTATGTCCCACTTTATGTATGCATAGCTGACTGTACAAATTTACTCTTTATCCACAAAAAATTCAAACTCAAGGTGAAATCGAATTTAATATCAATCGAGTCTAATATCAATAGTGGACATTAATAACATCAATCAGTATCATCTTTAATTTTTTTCCGATTTTAAAACCATTTATATAATATATATTTATTTTATTTATTTTTATTTTATTTCAGAGAGGAGTAACCAATGACAAATACATAAAAGAAGTAAACAACTATTACTAGTGAATAACTATACAATTAAGAGTGCTGTGGTTAAAAATCCCGTAAACTAGATCTAAGATCATGTCTAAAGGACCTCACCCTCCGGGCTACACTATTCTAACAGTAAAACTACGCTACTGATAAAGGGTTATTTATATAATATATATAATGCGCTTTGTAAATTTTTTTATAGTACCAACTGTACCACGTGATTATTGTCACGCTAAACTTTAGTGAAATTAAAATATATTTCATCGTCCAAATGGTTTTTATTTAATATTGATATATCAACATTCTTAATTTCGCGACTGATGAATATTATGGCTTTCCCAAATTATAATTTTTGGGATGTCCTGATCTTTTTGGTTTCATGTAAAGGTTTGCAAGTTTACACGTGGAGTAGTCGCATGTGACTTACATAACATAATTATGTTATGTAAGTCACATGCGACTTGGCCTAGGTTATGAAGGTAACTTCATAGTCTATAGGTATCTTCATAGTCTATAGGTAACTTCATAGTTTACCAGTAACTTCATAATCTGTTGGTAACTTCATAGTCTACCAGTAATTTCATAATCTGTTGGTAACTTCATAGTCTACCAGTAATTTCATAATCTGTTGGTAACTTCATAATATAGCGGTGATATCATAATCTAATTTCATAATCTGGTATTAACTTCATAACCTATTATTCATAATCTGATAGGGACTTCATAACCTACTTATGGGTAGCTCCTTTGCATTTATGACATTGTTTCAACTGTTTCCTGTATAATATGGTGGTATCTTCATAGTCTAATGGTGACTGGTAGTGCTTTAATTTAATGGTGATGTCATGATCTAATAGTGACTGCTTTCTTCTTGTTCCTAATCCATTTACATAATAAAATCTATATTGTTGGTTCTGGCTTTCCAGTCGTCT